GGCAGCACCAGTTAAAAAATGAACCAGATTCTGAGTGCTAGGAATTCACTTTGAGTATGGTTTTGGGTCCTTTGCCGAAATATGAGTAATTTTAAAACTGCTAAGCTAGGAATTGTGAGGGTTTTATTGTTTTATATTGGTTTGTCTATTTGGTTTTGTGCATCTTTAAGGCATTTAAATATGAAGTGTAATGCCAACCATTGCAGTATTATTAACATTTTAAGTGCTTGAAGACTGCAAGTGACTGTGTAATGCTGAGTAATTGTTCTGGGTTCAGCAATATATGTGTGTGCATGTGTGTATTGTCGATAGGTTTGAAATTGGTTTATACCTCTACCAAACTTATTCAAACCTAGCTTCTTTTTAAGGTCCCAGTGAGATTTCCAAGCAATCAAGTTTGAAGACTTGCAGTGCAGTCATTTAAATAAAACTTGAGAACAGTCTGACAAAGCAGTCTTGAGAACAATTCGTCTAGTTAATGGGCATAGGAAAATTCCTTCAGGAAATGCCCCAGTAGCTGCACATGGAAGAAAAAGAGAATAAAAAAATTATATTCTCAGCATTTTTCTTTTTTTTCAGTGCTCCTAATTTTGGGATAGCCGTACATGTTCTTTCCTCCTTTTGGGAAGCAGTGTTCTTTTCCCTCCTCATGTAAGATTTGATTTTGCACCCTAAGGTTTCTGGGAAGTTTCAGGCCAGCAAGTGTATGTTCCAGAACTTGTATGGTTGTGGCAGCAGGGGATTGATCATAAACTCTTTTCCAAACATAACTACTAGGTTAACTGTTGACCGGATATTGCCCAGAGAGTATATTTTATTGACTGTGAATTCATTAATAGTTAACTGGTGTGCAGACGTTGAAACAATGAGCTGATTCTTCATATTGAATCCTATCTCAGACAAATACAATAAGATGCCATGGTCTGTTGCTTTCTCAGCTCAACATTGTTTTGTGTTGATGTCAGGGGAAAGTCTTACTCAGTTAACAGCATTCCTAGAGCACTCTGTAGGACTGAAGGAGCTACAGAAAACTTGGAGTCTTCATTGAGAAACAAAAGCTAAACCTGCAAAAAGAGCAGAACACCAAAAAAAAAAAAAAAATTAAAAAAGGAAAATTATGGAGCTCCACAGTTAAAATGTCAGTGGTGTTCCCAAGTCAGCAACATGTACCTTGAGGAATGGAGAGATGTCTTCAGACTAAGCACAAAGCAAGGGTTTCCTGCTATGAAAGGTTACCTCTTCCAGAAAGGTTCCTTGGATGCCTTTTAAATGGCTATGTTTTTATATGTTTGGTTACCTGTTTATATGACTAGTTTTCGCTCCTGCAGCCTGGACCTTTTAATTTTTCAGCTTTCTTCCCTGGAAGTGTGGAAAGTTATTTGTAAACTTTATTGCTTTTCAAGATGAGAAAGCATGAATTCATGTGTCTGCAGAGATTTGAAAATGCCAAGTGCTGGATGTGAGTGCTGCTCGTGAAAGAGTTTAGTTTCTGAATGCTATGTACCCAGAAACACATGAAAAAGTATTTATGCTAAAAAAAAATAATATAATTATCCTGTTGAATGCCAGGAGGACAAACACTCTATATCTGTTGAAGGCCAGGATCATTGCCGTAAGATTAACTAGAAAGGAAAAACATATGGCAGTCATCCAGGAAACACAGTTATCAGAAGGTAAACAGGCATAATCAACCAGGGACTCAAAAATGTTGCATTACCAACAAAACAAAAGATATGACCCTCTCTGAAAGCCCTGTTTCCTAGAAGCATTTTTCTAAATAGAAAACAGATAGAAATATTCATGGCTAAGGAATAGCTGTAAGGCCACAGCTGAAGCCAAGAAATAGGGTCAGATCTGGTTGAAGATTGAGTGGTGCTACACTGAGTGTGGTGCTTTCGAAAGACCAGAAAGCGCATTTCTGATCATGCCAACTCCTAACCGGAGGAAGACTGACTCTCCCTGTCCTTTTTTGCAAGAGGTAATTGTTTTTTTCTGTCAAGGTATGTATAATACTGAAGACAGTAGGATTTTTCCACCCCTGTTTTCTGAGATTAACTTTGCTGTGTTGCTATGCCACTAGCAGCTGGACTACCTGGGCATAAATTTTATCTGAGTTTTTGACAGATGTTGTCCTAGTGTTCATCAAATTTCTTTATGCATGCAGGTATCTGTTAGCACCCCCAATGACTACAACTAAAAATACTTGATTTTCTTGCACAGTGTATACTTACCTCCTACCCACATTGAGCCTGCTATCTGCAAACAGAGAAGAAGTATTTCCAATTTGTGGACTCCTACTGTTTCACCTCCTCAGTTATGGCCAGCAAGTTGCACCTAACCATGCATATTTTTTGGGTAGCCTTGAAAATGTAACAGGAGTATGAATGTCAATGAGAAACCATCTTTTGCCTGTAAAAATTTAACCCTCTCTCCTTGTTTTAATATAGCTGCTCCTTCTATAAAAGATCAAGTGACTTTTTTTTGTAAGAAGCCCTCCTTAACAGTAAAATCCAACACGCTAAAAAAAATAATAAATTGGTGATTCCAAAAGAATGACTCTGTGCCCAGAGCCACTCTGAAAAAATGCCTAAGGACTTGCATTGTCATTTTTCACTGAAGCGTAAAAACCTGTAGGTGTTATTAAGCTTCTGTTATGATAGCTCTTAAGACTGTAAACTGAAAAAAAATCAAACCAGAAAAACAAAAGGCAGGGTGGTAGTGAGGAATAAACTCATTCCTCGTGTCTTTCTTTGGCTTACAGGGGAAAAGGTAAAAGAAGAGTTTAGCCTGTTGGATCAATTATACAATCAAGGTAGCTTAATGTCTCAAAATCACAAAGGTTGAAAAAGCCAAAGAACCCAGATACTAGAGTGCTGCGTGTGATCTCATGTCCATTTTACAGCTGTGTGTACTGGGTATCTGTTGATGGTAAAGAACTGGCTCTTGATTTACAAGCACATTAGCAGAAAACTGACTTGCTGTATGTGGATAGAGACATTCAGTTTCACTACACACAATTAATAACCATGGGACACCTCAGTTTTAAGGACAAATCACTGTGAGATTTGATGCAATGTCTGCTGTGATCATTCATCTGTCCCCTTTTCACTGACAGTCTCGCAAATTTGCGCTAACAAATGAAGGAAGGATTTATGAAGAAATTGCAGCTGTATAAAGCTGCTTTACTCTTCCAGACAAGTATCTCACTGGATAATCTGTGGAACAGTTAAACTCTCATTCCTCTTTAATCTTTCTTCTTTCCTGGAACAGGTGATAAGTAGACTGATGTATCGGTAGACCTTCTGCAGCATATTGGGGTAGCTGTGTTGAATTGAGGTGCTGCAGTGTAATTCTGTGAATGTTCACATGATGTGGGACCAGCTATTAGGTTGGGCACAATGCAGTATTGTACACATAATTATAAAAAATTGCACCTCATGTTGGCTGCATTATTGAAAATAATAACCTGTATCCATCAGCCCATGTGTTTGACCCACGGTTAATAAAAAGACATATTCATTAATCCACAGTGCTTTTCTGATTTTGTGGCTATGAGAGAAAAACAAGGTCTTTATCTACAGTTGTTATGAACTCATTGTTATGGTATCCATATCCTGGTGTAGGACTTCAGGTTGTAACAAACTATCCCTGTTACATCTTTTCTTTTAAATACCAGATGCTTTTGGCTCTTTGAGAACGTTGGGCTTGTTTTTAGTACTTAGTATGGTATTTCCTGGCCAGATTGAGACCTATGTCCAAGATAGGTAATGTTTTACTATGCCACCAAGTTTTTCAGGTGGCGCAGGCCTGGGAACAGCTCCAGCTCTAAACTTCATCCTCCTGCCTACCTAGCTCCAGAGCTGTAGTCCAGTTTCTTTTTTTTTTGCAGCGGACTCTGCCCAAACATCCTTTTGGCAGTGACACATCCTGGTGCTGAAAGACCTTCCCAGGGAAGTTTCAGCAGGGAGGAAATGGGAGAATATAACATCTCATAAACTCCCTATGACTCCAGAACAAGGCCCAAAGGCTATCATTACTGAGATGCTTACTACTAGCGTCATTTCCAAAAGAAGATCTCAATTTATTGTGTTGGGAGTTTCTAGGGTCAGCTCCATCCTGCTATGTGGTATAACAATGCGTCAGTTGCACAATAGAAGTAACCTCACAGTATTCATATGTCACTTCAACAAGAGAGCAGAAAAAAATACTCTTGTAGTTACAGGGTGCGTTTAGTTTTTCTGACATTTAATTTTTACATGTCAGGAATCAGTGCTTTAATGGGAGAGATTTTTGGCCTGAAAATGAAATAATTAATAGAAACCAATTATGAGTCTGTGTTTCCTATCCTTAACAAACTTCCCTGTTTCTTTCTTTTTTCCTGTTTCATTGTCATGTCATGTCAGATCTGATTATAAGAGATGGGCCTCGTAGAATATGGCATCACATGGGTAGGCTCTGGACTGCTGAGCTTCAGCTACGTTCTGGAGATTACAGACCTCAGTTTCACTGTCTTTGCCCTCCCCCTAACACAGTAAAAACCCCGAAGTGGAAGCCCAGAGGTAAATTTTTTAGCCATGAGTCTAAGTTCATGGACCCCGAGATGGAAGAAAATGTGCTTCTTTCACAGCCAAAGACCAATCGCGAAGCAGTTTCTATTGTGATAGAAAACCAAACATCCAAATACAGCTATTTCCATATATGGCAAAAGGAACTCTCTTGCATCACAAATACCCTATAGTGTCTGACTTCTAAGGACAGGCCAGGTACATGTCCACTCACTGTCATAGGGAGCAAGCCCACCCATCAGAGAAACAGGCACCTCTGCCATCCTGTCACAGAGATCTTGAAAGCAGAAATGGTGAGATACAGGCAATTTCAGAATTGCGCAACAGCACAACAGGCAACGCTCCCAACGGAGTCAAAGACACAGAGTCAGAGGCAGGAAGCAAGGAAAGGGACAAGGGCTAAGGAGGAAAAAAGGTGAAAGGTACTGCCTTTCAGACTAAGTCATGGAAAGGCTGTCATAGGATTGAGACTTTCTGAACAATCTTGGTGAAACTACAGTGTTGCAGGGACTGTCTTGTGACCAGACACAGAAACCTTTTTCTGACTCAAGGATTAAACATCTTTGAGGGTTTGAGGGAAGATGGGTTTAAGATCTTGCCTATGGAGCCAACATGAAAGTTGGAATGGACACATTGGCTACAACTATAGGGGCATTCATGCCATTTGAAATGGCTGTAGGATTGCAGGCTGTAATATACAAATACTTTATGACAACTACTCAGTGTGGGGCAGGGAATTTGGGGAAATAAGAAATAGTACAGTCCTGAGTCACTAGTCACCAAGTCATGGCAGGTGGTTAGCATAAAAAGTACCTCTGACTGCACAGGAGCAATCAGGAGACATTCATGTGTACTCCTGCAATTATACAGCATAACCAGTGATGAAGCAAATATTTATAGGGCTTGGTAAGTATTTGGCTGGATTTGTAGACAGGTGTCTAAGGTACACCAAGACAGATCAAATGGATCATTTTCTGAAAATACAGGTGTCTCTGTTGCTTAAAGCAGCAACCTTGATTAACTGGTTAAACTATGAGATTATCATATTTAGGCAAACAAAAACCCATAGTGACACCTTCCTGTAAGTACCACTGTGTTTCTAGTTCCAGAAGTACTTGGAAGCATTCTGTAAAATGAAATGAAAACCTATGAAATAAACAGGTGCCATGAGCAGACTGGGCAATTAACTGCTGCCATTAATGCCCTTAGCAGCTCTTTGCCTAAGGAGAATTATACTCATCCTTGCTTCTCTACCTTCTTTTCGACAGGAGGCAAGAAGAATGCTTCCCAGAGGGTAGTGTTGTATTGAGATTCTAACTGCCTTGTCTGCCACGTATTGCAGCGTAGAAACAAGCTTCCACAACTGCATGACAAAATACCTCTGCTTTCTGGTATGATCCTGGAATAAGTGCATCCTGACATAACTGACTTGAAATAAACAGAACTGAATGTTTTCCGTTCTCTGGGTTTTTTTGTTTTGGTTTGTTGTTTTTTTTTGTGTTATTGCTAGAATGTGATCTCAGAGACCTTCTTGCTGGTGCACATAAAGATGTACTGGATTGTCCAGGACTGGGAGGATTTGCCAAAACAGGGGAAACAAATAGTTAAGGCTTGTCTTAGAGTAGTGGTTGGTTCAACCTTAGTCTGAGAACAAAACTGCCTCCTAAGTTGCTAGAAATGTTTAGCTGTCATCTGTTGTTCAGCTGATTATTTGCATAGTATAAATGCCTGAGACATAGTCCTGCTTTAATTGTCCTTATCTAAGAAAGGGCATCCTTTGCTACTCAGAGAACGGCTCTCAAGTTCATGCAACAACATATGACTGGAGCAGGCTAGTAATAGATTGGAGTAGACTAGATATATTGGAGCAAGGTAGTGATTTACTTCCGGGTAAACGGAAACCATGGCTGGGGGAGGCAGGATGCCAGAAGGGGGTGGTGGAACTGATCACACAAAATCAAGTCAGAATATAAATTTCTTCCTCTATTCAGGCCTTTCCCATATGGAGCAGGGGATGCCCAAGCAGACATTGTCGTCTCAGTTTCACAGGAACTTCCACTAGAAATCCTTTAGCTCTCTGAGGAATACAGTCTGGGGTCTTGTGAATTACGAGATCACTGCAGTAGGTCAAATCAGGCATTTCCAAATCCTCCTGATCACATGGAACTAACCTAATAAAACATTTGTTTAAATAACAAAGAACAGCAATGGGGCAGTCATGAGTAAATATGTTCCACACCACTTCCTGTTGTCACCTGTGGTCTATCAACCTCAAGAGATTCAGTAGTTCACTCAAAATCTTCAGTAGAGCAGGGCTGTGGACCCAGATGCATGAGACAGCACACCAGCTCCGAGTCCTTTCTTTGCATCCTAGGCCAGCAAGACATATGCAGGCACAGGTCTCCAAGGAGTGGAAAGGCAAGGATGTGGCCCAAGCTAGTGAACATGCCACACCAAGCAGCATGCCTGGGCACAGATCTGCAAGCTGTTGCTCCTGGTTGCCTGTGGGGCTTCTCTAATGGTGCAGGAGGGGGATGTGCTGGGTGTGTGAGGGAAGATATTGTGCCCACACCAACTTATTCAAAGCACATTTTGCCCAGAAAGTGACACTATGGTCCATGTTCTTCCAAACAATTGCAAAAGGAAAGCCCTGCCTGTCATCTTTTACTTTATTTCCTCTTCCTTCCCTCTCCCTGGGTTGAGCATGACTGCCCCAGAGCAGGAGGGATGTGGTGGTGCGGATATCCTGTCAGGAGAGTCCATGTTACGCCCCACTGAGGTCACAGGGAGACCTCAGTCACTTCACAAAACTTTTGCACCTCTGGTGGAGCCCCTGAAGGTCAGGTAGGGTCAGAGCACAGATGGGACTCCTATCCTATTCCTGTTCAAACACCCAGTGGGTGACTTTAATAGTTTTCAGCATCAATCTTTTGGCTACTCCCTCCTTATGTTTGTATGTAGGGAGGGAGTCATAATGGTGTTTTTTTGAATTATTCAGTTTCTTGCCTTGTTTTTTTCATTTTTCATAACGTTATTACTCCATTAATATTCCTGAAAGCCAAGCCAAGCCTTACTCCAACAGGCTCTCATGATTAAAGACTAAATACTGCAGAGGAGATGACAGTCCTCACATGTGCCAATGAGTCAGTGAATTCCTTTGTGAAGCCTAAGTCCAACCAGATGTCGACCTCAGCTCTGATGCTATGTTCTTTCCCTATTTTCCTCCAGTATTGCTGCGTCTACTTAAGATGGGTATGACGTGACCATCAATGAGGAAAGACAGGCTCTCTGAAAGGGTAAAATGCTTTACTTTTTTCTACAATAGGATTGTGAAGCTCTTTCCACTGCCGTAATTCTTGGCCCATTGCCTTACAAATATTATTGCTCTTTTGGTACTATTTGCATTGCACAGGAGTAAATGTCTAAAGGCAATCTGAGACAGTCACTTCGTATGGGTCTAATTTGGATTTTCAAACTGCTGCTACAGAGAAAAAGAGCTACACGGGACTATACCAGTAGGCATGTGGAACAGAAAAGCAAGGAACTATCTGTATGTGGCTGATACAAATGTCCTGTTTGAGCAGACTAAACCTAGTATTTTCTTTAAATACAAAGGGAGGAAACAGCATTTTGCCTAGCTAGATTCTTCCAGCGCTTTTGCAATTCCTTTGCTTTTCTTCATAAGCCATTTCTTAGAAACTGGAGTCTGAATTGGGCTTTTTAACAGCCACTGGGCTAGATCTTTCCTTGCTGTGAATCAGACCAGCTCCATCATCTTCCACTGCAAGCTGCATTGCAGTAGGCCAGGAAGTGTACTGCTCCTGGAGGGCATGCATGATAGAAGACCAGAGGTAGTTATATAATCCTGCCTGCTGCACTGGTTTTAGTGAAGCTCCAACAGAGGAAATGAGGAGAGCGCCAAGTGAATCATGTTCTAGTCTCTTCCTCTGCCTTCTCCACCCCTCTGGGTGACAAAAGCCCCCTTTTCATGAAGCAGATTAGCATCCCCGGATATTGTTCCAGGACTTCACTTTAACCAGACTCCTGGAATCTGACCTTTGGAAAAATTTGCTCTGCCCAGTCCCCTCCCACATCTGGGACATTTTTTTGAAAGTGGTCCTGTGCTTTCTTATGTTGGAATTCAGCCTGGGGATGCAGAGGCTATGACTGGGGATTCCCTCATCACAGCCTGTCCAGTTATGTCCAGAGAAATGGAGTAACTCTCTCGGGAAGTTTATTTCCAGCTGTCACAACATACCCACACCTTGCTGACCTGCCACAGTGCTCTTTCCTCGTAAGATAACAACTGGTCAGCTGATGAGGGAGGTGCTAGCAATGGGAGCAGAATGAGCAGAGCAGTGCAGTGCTACACGTTTGGCAATGTTAAATTTGAATCCCTGTATTCCTTTTGTACTGGGATTTGCCTGTTGTTAGTTAGGGCATTAGGCATGTAATTACAGATGTTTAAAACCTGGTTGCCCATGCACACATGAAGCTTAGGACTGCTGCTCTGCCAGCTGGCCTCCTGATCATTTTTCCAGGTCCTGATGGCTTTCATTCCCTGCTCCAAGCATTTGCACTTCAGTGCTGGCACCATTACATTGCCTCCCAAAGCTTCAGAAGCAGCAGCATAGCCTGTTTTGGGCATGCAGCTTTCTGGTCTTGGAGGTGGCTTTGGCCCCTTCCCCAAATTGACCCAGATACAGCCTTTTAAGCAGGGGAAAGGCAGGAGAAGTGCCAAGGGCAGGAACATCTGGAAAATCAATGGCAAGTGTGAGACAGATGCCAAACCAGGATTCAAGTCTCTAGAGTCTCTGTGCAGATGCCCTTCTACTTGCTTGCACTGAACTCATCGCAGCTGTCAACAGGCTGGAGTACCAGTGACTTGAAATCTATAATACAGGTAACATAAACCAGCACCTCTCTCTTTAGTTTCCTCTATAAAACTCTATTTCTACTCTTCTCTCCCTCTCTCTCCTTTTCTTTTTTCTTTTTTCTTTTTTTTGTTTTTTGTTTGTTTGTTTGTTTGTTTTTGTTTCATGATCTCTCCCAAAAATACATTGATTTTTAACAAGTCATGCCAGGATCAGAACAGCTATATCTAAATTTACAGTCAAATTTTCAAACAGAGTCACTTCCTGCTATTTTGTTTGCCTCCTAAGTCAGAACAGTATATTTCTACATGCTGCCAGACATGGGCAATTCTTACTTAGAGATGATAATAAACCATTATAAACCAGAGCCAGTATGCATTTCAAAGGCCAAATCTTTCAATTCTAACTCGGGCTTTTAACTGTAATGAACCAGACATGCATTTTCTCATGACCTGTACATTACAGCTCTCATGATGCTCCTGACTGCATTTCAGAGATGCAGAAAGAGTGACAGAGGCTACTATGCAGTGCTTTTCAGAGGTGCTGTTGGGATGAGTTTCAATTATTCATTTATGAGCTTAGCTTTCACTGAGCTGCTCTAAGAGCTGGTAACAATTTTCATTATGTGCTAGCTAGCTGTAAAGCATCCTGCAAAGTGGATCTGCTCTGTCTCATGTCAGAAAGCAGCACAGGTATGAAAGGAACTTCAAACACTTAAAAAGAGAGCACACAAATAGACTTTGTACCTCCTTCTTAACATCCCACTGTGACAGCATTGGTTTGAGAATCAGCAGCTTCTATGCATTAAGCCAGCCCTGTCTGGCTTAGCAATTCACGGATGCAAGGCAGGAGGGAAGGTTTCTTCTTCCAGCCAACTCTCTGGCTGTTTATTTTCAGTCTCAGAGGCCCATACTGCATCTGGAGCTTGCCCAGTCCTGGGTTTTGGATTTGGATTCACATTGTGTGAGTCTAAGGAGGGTTATTTTACCATCCCAAATTTCCAGTAGTGGACTGTGGCATTCAAAATTTAAATAAACAAACAAAGAAACAAAATTCTCATCCTTCCTGTAAAGGATCATCTCCTTTTAGAGGTACAAGAAAAAAAAAGATACAAAAACTTTAGTATTAATATAGGAAAAAAATCCTCTGGGACAGGCATTACAGCAGCCTGATGTTCTAGGTGAGTGTGAAGTAAATGCAGCCTTGCAGACACATATGGTAAGATGCTGAGTTCCTCATTCAGTAAGAGACCTGAAATCCTCTGGAACAGTAAGCTCCAGTTTCCTCCTTGGAAGAAAATACATTAAGGGACACTCACAATTTACAGTATTCAGTGCAAGTGCCAGATCAAACCGTGGCATCCTGTGTAATCCCTGCTGAAAAACAAAGCAAAGAACTACCTGGAGGACCTCCAAGGCACTGGATAAGAGGCATCCTCTCAAACAAAGGCCTGCCAAGGTTGAGGGAAGGCCCCAAATCCATGCTAGGTGATAAGACAGTAAAGAAGAAAATAGCTTTCTCTAGAGGTCCTTCTGAAGCAAGGATAAAGGGATGGGTCAGGATGAGGGAGAAACCCA